TGGGGGAAAAAAAAACAAGGAGGAGGATTGGCAATAGATGTTAGCTCAGAGCCGGTCTTCCTCAGCAAAAAGAGGAGGATTAGCATGGATGTTAGCTCAGAGCTGATCTTCCTCACACACAAAAAAAAAACAGCAATATGTTTTTGAGGGCTTGTTCTGTGCTAGGCCTTACCCTGAGCACTTTATATCCATTATCTTATTATTCTCCAATGACCCTGGGAATAAGTACTATGACCGACCTTATTTTCCAAAGAGGAAATAGAGGTGCAGAGAGACTGAGTGACTTTCTCAGGGCCACACAGCAGAGCCCAGATTCCAACCCAGGGCCAGCATGACTACAGAGCCAGGCTTGGTCCCCTTCCCCATACCACCCACCAGGTCCAGGCTGGCTCGCACCTGGATGGTCACGGAGACATTGTCCTTCTCCTCCTGGACGAAGATGCTATAGGAGCCGCTGACCACGGGCTCATTGTCGTTGATGTCCAGCAGGAAGATCTGCAGTGTGGTGGAGCCGGACAGGCCCCCGCCGTCTGTGGCCTGCAGCGTGAGGTAGTACACGGCCTGCTTCTCCCGGTCCAGCAGTTCGCTGTCTCTCACTGTCACCGTCCCCGAGTCTGGATCCACCTCAAAGACGTCTACCCTGTGCAGGGGGGCCAGATTTAGCAAATAAAAATACAGGATGCCCACTTGAATTTGAATTTCAGATAAACGATGAAATATATTTTAATACATCCCATGGAATATTTGCAACCTACTTATACTAAAGAAAATTATTCATTGTTTATCCAGAATGGAAATGTAAGTGGGTGCCCTATATTTTACCTGGCTACCCTAGCCCCGCGGCAAGGCAGAGGCGGGCCTGGGCCCTGCTCGCCCCCCCGGCGCCCGCCCACCCAAGACCTTACCCATTCCCTGGAAGCAGGCTGTAGGTGATGCGGCCCCCCTCGCCCGTGTCTGGGTCCAAGGCCTGTGCGGCAGAGAGATGGATAATGGGACACTGTTCAGAAGTGACACTGTCAGCCATGCAATTGATGGGGACAGGGCTGTCCTGCTTCCTGACACATTCAGATTCACACATAGACACTCACACCCCACACACACTCACGCACACACACACATGCATGTACACTTGCTGGGACCTGGGAATGTCCGGCAGTATAGACACTTGGGCAGGGTCCTAGTCCCAGGTCTGCCCTTCTCCGTGTCTCTCCCAGCCCCGCCCCTCAGCACTCACATGGATGCTGTCGGTGACCACAAAGCCCTTTGTGCTGTGCTCAAAGACACTGAGGTTGTACACGCTGTGGGGGAATGTGGGCGTGTGGTCATTAATGTCTCTGAGGTGGATGGTCACCGAGGCCACGGAGGCATTCCCGCTGACCGAGTCAGTAGCCACAACCTGAGGACAGGGAAAGAGGCAGCAGATGGAGACCAGAGCACCCCCTGACCCACGCTCCCCGGCGCCCCAGGGTGCCCCTCACCTGCACCAGCATCACCGTCTGCGTCTCGTAGTCCACCAGCGACGGCGCCCTCACCAGCACCTGCACGTCGGCTGATCCCGCCACCCGCGAGGGGGAGACGCTGAAGGCTTCGGCGTCAGGGCCCCCCAGGGACAACAGGAAGGTGCCGTTGCTGCCCTGCAGAGGTGGGCTGTATGATAGGGACCCCACCCCTGCAACGCACCCACCTACATCTTTCCCCCAATCCCTGGCCACAGGCCCCTGCCTGCTGGGGTCCTATGAGAGTCTCAAAAGACTGAGGCAAGAGGGCCCTGGGAGGGTGGGCTGGTCCCTAGTGTCTGTGGGGGGCTCATTAGAAGACTTCCCTTAGTACTGTGGGCCCCAGGCCTGGGCCACAGAGACAGAGCGTGGACACAGACCCCTCACTCCCATAAAGTATTACTGGGAGCCTTCCTACCTCTCACCACCGTCCACCCCCCACACCAACACCAAACCGCGCGACACCCAGCATCACCTATTACCCATAGCCCCCACTCCACACCACCCTTCCCTCAGCACCAACTACCAACTCAACACACCCACCCACCTACCACTGCTCAATACCATCCTCCACTCTACATTCTGTACCAACTCAGTGTCACCGGATACTACCAAACCCCACCCACAGGTATTCATCACTCCACACCACCCCCTCGCCACCATGCAGTACTCACCTCCACTTAAGAATACCCTCCAATTCGACACACACTCAGACCACTCTGTGCCCCACGCTGCCCAGTCCCCCAGCGTCCAGTACTACTCAACCCTCCCCTTCACCATCCATCCATCACCACCCTCTACTCAGCCCCACCGAAGATCACATCCCACTCCATATTACCCACAGCCAGCACCAGCCTTCACTCAGCACGGCCTGTCTGTTCACCACCACCCAGCACCGCCCTGAACACAAGACCACCCACCAGCTCGTCATAACCCAACGCTTCCAAATATCTCCCCCCACTCTGAGTCTCACTACCACGCACGATCCGCATCCACTGCTCACCTCCCCACCACGCACCTTGGTGCCGCGCTCTCCCAGTGACTCCCCATCTCCCTCCCCCAGCCTCCTCCCGCCGTCAATGCCGCCCCCACCACCCCTTGTCTGGGGGCACCTGCCTTGTCTGGGTCGTAGACCACCATGGTGAGGTCGTCGATGGGGATGCGGGTGGAAGCGTGCTCCTCCACGTAGCCAGTGAAGTTGTTTTGGGCTTCTTGGGGGGTGAAGGTGCAGGCTGAGAGGCTGCAGTTGTAAAACTCAGGTTTGTGGTCATTGACGTCTGTCACCCTCAGGGTGACCCATATGCTCACCTTGGCCTCCTGTCCATAGATGTTGAGGTGCATCTCGGTGGCCTGAAAGCAGAGCAAAGGCCGGAGGGCAGAGGTCAGAGAAGCAGCACTCAGAGAGAGCTGAGATCAAAGGTCAGAGGTGGGGGGTACAAAGGGGGCGGTGGACCCCTCACTCACCGTGACCTGCACCTGCACCTCCTCATCCTCCTCCAGCAGCTGTTCACGGTCCAGGGAGCCGTTGACTCTGATCACCCCGTCTGACCCAATGTCAAACCAGCCGGGCCTTGTGGAGTCTGGCAAGAGGCAGCAGGAGCAGCTGCTTCCAGTGGCTCTGACGGAGCCCCCACCCTCCCCTTGCCCCAGCCCCAGCCCCAGCCTGGGGACGCCCCGGTTCTCACTGGAGATGCTGTACGTCACGGGGTCGTTGATGCCTTTGTCGCTATCCACAGCCTCCACCTTCAGCACCGAGGCTCCCTGCAAGGAGGCCTGGTCAGCGGCCCAGACCCTTTCCGGCCTCTCACCTCCGTCCAGACCCCTCAGGGGCCCCGCACACCTGGGGTGCGTCCTCAGCCACAGAGGCCAAGTAAGACACCCTGACAAACTGGGGGTCCAGGTCCGGCTGGTCAACCACAGAGATAGACAGGAAGACAGGCGAGGAGCACTGGATGACGAAGTCGTTGTTGTACGGGCCGCCCGAGTCCTGCGGAGAGATGGGGCCCATGAGCCCAGCCCGGGCCCGGGGCCCCCGCCCCCGCCTGCGCCCCTACTCACACAGGCCTTCAGCTCCAGCTGGTAGAAGGCGCTCTTGTTGTTGTAACTGAGGCTGCCGTTGAGAATGATGGAGCCGTTGGCCAGGATCTCGAAGAGGTGCCTGCTGTCCCCGGTGCTCGGGATGACCTGAGGCGCAGCGCGGTCAGACTAGGCCCCCGACAGCCCCGCCCCTGAGAGACCTGGGGTCCAATTCCAGCTCTGCCCTGGACCAGCCCTGTGACCCTCACCAGGTCACACGACCTCTCTGAGCCTCGGTCTCCACCTCTGGGCAGTGGGCTCAGATATCGCCTCAGTGGGCTGAAAGGAGGGTCAAGTGCGCTAAGGTAGGTGCCCGGCACGGGGTGGGCGCTCAGTAGACGGGACCTATGGCCAGCAAATTTGTCTTCATGAGGACTGGGGTCACACCCCCTATTGTCTGTGTGACCTTGGACAACACCCTGGACCTCTCTGAGCCTCGGTTTTCTCTCCTGTGAAGCCAGGAGTGCATCAGCCATCAGGTGGTGTGACAGGCACTTGGCAAGGACCCTAACAGTGCCCAGGACAAGAAGGAGGGCAGAAGGGTCCAGTCCACCCTCCTTAGGCAGCTGGGCCAAGTGAGGTCCGGAGGGGGCCAGCGGAAGGCTTAGAGACCAGGGCTGGGCCAGGACAGAGCCGCCGTGCTCGCCCCAGCCCCCAAGGTCCCTGCAGGTTGTGTGGGAGATGCTGCCCCCTGGTGGCCGTGAGGAGCAGTGGGGCCCACACTGCCCGCGTACTCGCATACGCTCACCTCCTCTATGGAGTACACCACTGCACCCGCGGACCCCGTGTCTTTGTCCTCGGCCAGCACGGAGAACACCACGGAGCCGACCGGCAGGGTCTGCAACGAGGGACTTGTCACTTATGAGCTCCAATCCATCTCCGCCACGCCCGCGCACATCATGCCCCCTCCCTGAACTTCAGTGCCCCAACCGTACCACGGAGACAATGATAGCAACTTCCAGGGCCTGAGACCCAGCGTTCCACAGATTGCCCCCCTTTCCTTCCCACCTGGGCTAGGCCTCTGGAGGCAGCTGAGGGTGGGGCCTCTGCTCCTGCCCTCACTCAGCCTCGCCACCGCGTGAGCTGGCTGCTGATTTACAGAGCCCCTCGGGACCAGGAGGGGGCGTCATTCTATAACCCAGACATGCCACTCCCCTGCTCAAACATCCCTGTGGACTCCCGGTACCTTACAAAGTGGCTTCCACGTAGCCCCTTGCAGAGCTGGAAGGTTCTGTGGGGAGGCCCTTGCCCCCTGGGACCTGGCCCTGTGAATCCTGTCCCCACCCTCACTATCTCCACATGGTGGCCAAAGAGATCTTTGAAAATCATGAATCAGACCACATCACTCTCGTGCTAAAAACCCTCCAATGGCTCCCCCAGTCCCCCCAGAATACGGTCTAGACTGCCTCCATGGCCCTCCGCTGTCAGGCCACTGCCCCACCTCTCTGACCTCACCTCTTCCTCACCCTCAGCCTCCATCCACACTGGCTTTCTGGCTATGCCTAGAACACTCCAAGCTCATCTCCACCTCAGAGCCTTTGGATCTGCTGTTCCCCTGCCTGGAGCGTGCTTTTCCTGGAGCATCCCAGGCTGGCTCCTTCTTGCCGTATAGGTCTCTGCTCAGATGTCACCTACTCAGAGAAGCCTTTCCTGACCGCTCAACCTGAAGCAGCCCCCTCCCCAGTCACTGTCACTCACTTTGCCCTGTTTATGCTCTTCATGGAGCTCAACCCCATCTGAAATATCCTGCTTATTTAATGTTTCTTTGATAATTGTGCTCTTCATTAGGAGGTGAGCTGCTGAGGGTGGCGACCAGGTCTATCTTGTCACCAGATGTCCTCAGCACCGAGGCCCTGGCTCTTAGTAGGCACTCCATCAGAGCCTGTCCTGTGGCACTCTGGACCTCACCAGCCTTGTGTCTGGCACAGATGGGGCCCCACACCTCGAGGGTCTCCGAAGCCACATGGTAATGAAGGTTCAGGAGTGGTGTTGTGTTTGCCGCTCAGGGACCTTTGGGAACATTCTCCTCTCCATGCAGTTCAAGCTCCCCTTACTTGCTAGAGGGGAAGGCCCATGATGTGGACCTAGCCAATCAGAGAGTTCCATACCCCTGATTGATGGGCACATGACCCAAAATGGGCCAGTGAAAGTCACCCCTGGGGTTTTGGCTGGGACCACTGACAAAGAGACAGTCTGTGTTGAAGTTGCAAAGCTGGTGGGTCGTGAGCCTGGAGTTGCTAGGGGCCACTTTTATCACCACAAGGGAGAACTGCCGCCCACCTCAGGATGGAGGCAATGAGAGAAGTAGAGCTGAGGGGTGAAAAGAAATCTCTTCTTGATGACGTGGTTTGAGTACCTGGACCCAGCCGTGTCTGAAGTTAAATATACCTCTAGATTTTTTTCAGATGCATGGGAGAATCAATTCCTCCTTTTTTTAAAAAAATTTTTATTAACTGAAAAAATGTCAATCCAATCTGATTGATTCCAAATTGTTGCCGTAACTCTTGTTCATGGGGTTACATCCCCTGAAAGTGGTTCCTGAGCTGCCCCTTCTAGGAGGTGCTTCTCCCCATCCTGATAGACCCCTGCTGGCTGTCTCTGGTCCTTCTCCCTTGGAGAGGAGACTCTGGGATGCCCACCTCCTGCACACACCCCTGTTAAGGCAGACATTACCTCGCTGATGCTGGTGGAGAAGCCAGTGTTCTGGAAGACGGGGGCGTTGTCATTTCTGTCCTCCACAATCACCTGCATGTCCTTCTGCACCTGCAGGGGAGAGAGCATGGGTGAGCGCTGGAGAAGACAGGGAGGGGTGTCTGGGCGGGAGCAGGTTGGCCTGGCTTTTCAGGCGGACCACTGGGCAACGTTTGGGGTCACTTTTTACTGGATCCCATTTCAAACGCCAGAAAAGGTGCAAGGATAGTGCAAAGAACCCGCTATCTCCTTCGTCCAGGGGTCCCCACTGTTTGGTTTCTCTCTCTGTAAACGTTTACTGAACGATTTGAGAGTAAGTTACCGACATAATTAGGTCATTTTTTAAAAATCTCAAATGTGCCTGTCCTAGTACAAGAATGCTCATTTAGCTTTGTTTGCTATGGTGTAGAGCTGTGGGCAACCTGAGTGTCCGTCGGAGGAGGCCAGCTAAAGCACCACGGGTGTCCCCACGCAGGACTACAAATGGTACAAGGACGGGGGCTTGAGCGCAGACCCAGAAAGAGCTCCAGAGCCGATGGTTGAGTGGACAAGACGATGAGTACAGTAGAATCCCATGTGGGTCTCAGAAAATGCACAAAACACTATGCTCTTTCTTCCGTGGATACACACACGTGAACGCTTAGTGAGGGATGCGAAGGACACAGTGACAGCGAACACTTCAGCGGGGAGTGGGCTGGGAAGGGCTGCCCATGGGGACTGGAGCTTCTGCAATTTTTTTTTTGGCGTGGGTGAGGAAGATGGTCCCCGAGCTAACATCTGTGCCCATCTTCCTCTGTTTTGTATATGGGACACTGCCACAGCATGGCTTGAGAAGTGGTGTGTATGTCTGTACCCGGGATCCAAACCCACGAACCCCGGGCCGCCAGAGCAGAGCACGTGAACTTAACCACTAAGCCATGGGGCCGGCCCGATAAGTATAATTTTGATAAAAATAAACATTAAATTTGTTTTTTGTTAACTGGGCCTCTCTGCTTATTTGAGGTGGGGGACACAGTCGGGAGTGGCCCCCAGTCCCCTGCTCTCCAATCCCTGGACCCTCCCCTCCCACTTCAACTCACTGGGTTGTTGTGACCGTCGCTCACAGAGATGATGATGGTAAACCAGTACTGTGTCTGCAGTGGACAGAGAGAAGGGGCCCGTGGTGAGCTCCTGCTCCGGGTGGGAGCACAGGCAGCACGCCCGCCACTGGGACGCTGGCTCCCAGAGCCCTCCCTTCCTGCCCATCCCTTTCACAGGGCATTCCCAGGCTGCTGCCCTTTACCTCGTAGTCCAGAGGGCTGGCCAACTTCACCTCCCCAGTGGCTGCAGTGACAGTGAAGAAGTAGGCGTTGGAGCCACTAATCCCATAGGTCAGAGCGTCCTGGTCCAGGTCCTGAGCTGCCAACCAGAAGGCCTCGGCACCTGGAGACGGGACAGGGAATGCCCAGGGTCTGTGCCACCTCTTTCAGCGCTGGCCTGGCCGAGCTGCCCACGAGGCTGGGCTGGGGGCCTGACTTCTCTGTGCAGGAAATCTGGAAGCTCCCCAGCCCCAGGGCTCCAGCTCCTGTGTCCTAGACATCAGGTCTGGCTGTCGTCACTCAGCACCCACTCCGAGGCCTTTTGATAACAGCATGCTGATTTCCCTTGGGGGACGGCCCCAGCCGTCCCAGACGCTGTGGGGAAGCTGTTACTCAGGCGTCTCCTCGCCCCTGGCCCGGCCCCTGGACCTGCCCTCCTGGAATTCGTTGAGAGAAGACCAAAGATGGTTGGCATTAAGGTACGCGCTGCAGCAGCTGGGTGCATCCGAGGGGGGGGCTGCTGAAGACCCTCTGGAGGTGCCTGGGCCTCCTCTCAGCCTTCCCTTCTCCCCGAGAGCTTTTCCAGGGCCTGCTACGACACTCTCTCTCAGCCCAAGAGAGCCAAAGTGGTGTCTGCTGCTGGCCTCCCAGGAGCCCCGGCTTTCACTGTGCCCCCTGGGCAGAGCAGAGGTGAAGACATGTTGGGGTCTTGAAAATTCCAAGGTCATTGACTCTCCAATGTGAAAGAAACTTTTTACAGATTCATCAAACCCACGCCTGCTCCCCCACCTCACCTCCTTCACCACATCGGGCCTCTGCTCGGCCACCTCCAGTGCCCCCTTCCGTTGTGGGACAGCTGTGCACAGCAAGGGCTTTCTCCAGTTCATAAAATGTGCTTCCCGGAATTCCCACCCACAGTCCCCCAGGGCCTCATCCGTTCTGCCCAGGAGGTGCAGTGCCCAGGACCCATGGTAATTTTAGGGGCCCAAGAATGTTTATTTTCTTTTAAAATCAGAAGAGCCAAAACATGGAAACAACCTAAATGTCTACCAACAGATTAATGGATAAAGAAGATGTAGTACACACACACAGACAGACACACACACACACACAGACACACACACACACAGACACACACACAGACACACACACACAGGAATATTATTCAGCCATAAGAAAGAAGGAAATCCTGTCATTTGCCACAACGTGGATGGACCTTGAGGGCATTATGTTAAGTGAAATAAGTCAGAGAAAGACAAGTACCGTAAGATCTCACCTATATGTGGAATCTAAAAAAAAAAACCCGAGCTCACGGATGCACAGAACAGATTGGTGGTTGCCAGAGGCGGGGGTGGGGGTGGGGAAATGGGTGAAGGGGTCAAAAGGTACAAACTTCAACTTATAAAATGAATAAGCCCTGGGGATATAAAGTACAGCATGGAGACTATGGTTAATACTGTACTGCATATTGGAAAGTTGCTAAGAGAGTAGATCTTAAAAGTTCTCATCACAAGAAAAAGAATACGTAACTATGTGTGGTAATGGATGTTAACCAGACTTACTGTGGTGATCATTTCACAATATATACAAATACCAAGTTATTATGCTGTACACCTGAAACTAATATAGTGTTATATGTCAATTATAACTCAATAAAAAAAAGGTAGGGGCAGGCCCCGTGGCTTAGCGGTTAAGCGCGCGCGCTCCGCTGCTGGCGGCTCGGGTTCGGATCCCGGGCGCGCACTGACGCACTGCTTGTCAGGCCATGCTGAGGCCGCGTCCCACATACAGCAACTAGAAGGATGTGCAACTATGACATACAACTATCTACTGGGGCTTTGGGGAGAAACAGGGGGAAAAAAAAAGGTAAAAAAGTCAGAAGGAAAAAATGATTATAATCCAGCCTGCTGGATGATATTTGTCTTTACGCCAATGCAGTCATAAAATACACTTTTAACATATTTTTTGTGAGGAAGGGCCCACGAAGGCTAAAGTACCACAACAGTCGCACGTGGTCATGGGGCCCAGCGCCAACCTGAGGGTCTCAGAGAACCAGCCGGTCCGTCCCGCCCACCACCACCCTTCAGGGACAGGCTCAGCAGCAGGCCAGAGACTGCTCTTCTGTGATCAAACCATCCCAGCTCCTCCAACAACTCCTTGGAAAGCTTGTCCCTCCCCACCGAGCCCCCTTCCTCCAGGAAGACCACTGGGCCAACGTCCTGCTACAAAGACAGCGGTGTCTGCGTTGTTTCCTTGGTTGTGAGAGACACTGTCAATTTAATGGCTGTTTTGGGGCAGAGGCGGGTCACTCTGTGTTAAGTGACTCTCTCAATTGTGAGACACACCCTGACTCAGAACTGTCAGGACATGGCCCTTCTACGGGAGGCGAGTGGGTGTGTGAGTCTTCGTCTGTACACATTTGTCCATGGGCATAGAGCAGGGAAGAAATGATTTTTAAAAAGTTTGTCTGAAAAAAATTTAAATGTGACAAATAAACCAACAAGAGCCACAAAAATAAAGGACATATTAAGCCTCCATATATTAAGAATTGTACGTTTGCCACTAAACTCAAACTTGATATTTAAAACACCATAATAATATACATTTTAAAAAGTCTGCCTGATAAAACTAGACTACTGTACGGTGTTAGCATCAGGAAAACAGGTCCTGTGCAGGGGAGAAAGGGCGGGGTGAGACTAGAAGGGGCGAGAGGGGTGGGGGTGTTGGTGAAGGCCTGTTTCCTGGTGGTTACATGTAATAATTCAGTGCGCTGTTCTGTACATATATTATACTTCAAAATAGAAAGTCTGAATAACATATTTTTAAAAATCTGACTGAAAATGCTTTCACATCTCAAGAGAGCAGTAGAATTCATCTCTGGAAGGAGGAAATTGCTCTTTGGTTCAAGAATGCCCATAGTGGGGCCATGTGGTTACGAAAGAGAAGACCTTCATTTGGTCTGGCTGAGACTAGACCTGACATTAAAGGGTTACCCAGGAGGATGGAGATCTTGAAGGCATTTGGGTTACATATATTTGTGACATTTATTTGGAGGGGTGTGTGTATGTGTGTGTGTGTGTGTGTGTGTGTGTGTGTTTATCTAGGATCAAACAGCTATGAAACTACATATGTAAAACATCATTAACATGAATACGCTAATTCTCTGTTCTACAAAGAATATTCATAGATATCAAATAGTTTACCCTCAGCTCAGTCCTCCAGAGGAGATTGTGCCATCTCAGAATGTAGTGAGACTATCACCTCCCTCATCCTGGGCTCTAAACCTTTATGAATACAACCCTTAATGGACTTTGCTGTCCGGGCAACCACATCCAAATGGATGTGACCTTTGTGGCAGCAAAGCCCACCCTCATCCTTTGCTCGTGTACTCAGACCTGGGCTCCTGATCCTGGAGCACACTCTGGGTTTCACCTTCTTTGATGCAGTCTCTTGCTTCATCTGGTAGCATTAGATATCTGGGATCCCAATCCTGACGCTGCAACACAGACTGTAAATTGTCCCCCAATATTCACATCCTCCTTTGTCTCAGGCTAATTAAGCCTGGATTTTGAGCTGGGCACATGGCCCATCAGAATAAAGACCTCATTTCTCAGGTTCCCTTGCAGCTGGGTGTGGACGTGTGGCTCAGTTCTGGCTGCTGAGATGTGAGCAGATGTAATGAGCATGAACTCTGGAGCCTGTCCTTATGGGAAAAGGACAAGGCCCCTCGGCCCTTGCCTTCCGCTCGCTGGAGTAGGGTGTGGCAGCAGCCATCTTGGAGCACGTGGACAAGGGCCTCACCCTGGGGAAGTCAGCACCTGGAGAGGGAAGGAGGGTGCCTGACACCAGAAACAGAGAGCAGGGAAAAGCCTGATGGAACAGAGCCCCTGACAGCCCTGGACTCGCTGCTCTAGACGGCTATGTGAGAGAATAAACCTTGACCTCGTCTACATCTCTGTTATTTGGGGTCTCTGTATGCATAGCTGACCCCATACCCCAGTGAGGACAGCTGTCTATGGTTTCTGCTTCCCCAGCCCATATCCTCCTGCTGGGAATTTGGTATCCACTCCCTATGGCTGCACCCAGAACGATGCTCCCAAACGTGTTCACTCCTGAACACACCGATGATCTTCACCACATCCATGTCTCCTTACTTACGGCCCTGCTTTCAATCGACTCCCTGTCTCATGTAAATACATTTATTTTAAAAGCAAGCTTTAGATCGCTGCTGTGGATGGAACCCACCTCACTTGCCACAGATAGGAGGTAACTCTACAACAGAGACGACACAAGAAAAGGGAAGGTGTTAACTTCTGGTGAGACGTGTGTGGAAGGCCCCCAGCCTCAGCCTGCACTCTCTTTGTTTGAAGAAGGAAAAAAGCAGAGGCAGAGGGAGATTAGCAAGGGTGAGAGGTGAAGAGAGACAATGGTACCAAATGGACACTTTCTCCTCCGGGAAATCAGAAAGACTGAAAGAGATGGGAGACAGGACGAACGTCCTCATGGTGTGAGTTATTTGACGCTGTGTGAGGGCCCTTGACCCAAAAGCTGAAGAGCAGAAAAGAAACTTCCGGAACTAACTCTCTTCAGGTCACTTTTGCCCCACGTTGAGCCACGGAGCTGCAGGGACAAGGAGCAAGCCCACATGGGATCCCCTGGGAGACTCTTGTGGGTAAGGACTTGGCACGCTCTGGGCAAGGAATGGGTACTCACCCACTGGTAGGTCCTCGGGCAGGGTCACTGTCGTCATGTTTCTCAGGAATGTCGGGGCCACGTTGGCTGTCACTGTAGGGACACAGAGTGCTGGAACATCTGGATGGCCCTGCAAAACCCTACCCCCAGGGGAACCCACACCAGTCCCACGAGCCAACTTTCAGCCCAGCTCACCCACTGAGCCTGATTCCTCCCCAGACCTCTTCAGGTCAGCCAAGCCCAGGGCTGGGCCATAGGAGCTGGGCGTTTGCTGATGAGGCAGCATCCCTCCCTTCTAGAGGGTCCTGCCAAGGGTCCCCAGGCTAGTGCTGCTCTGGTCGGGGAGGGGAGGCACCCACCAGACACCACGAGGGCAGGAAGCAGGAGGCAGGACAGCCATGGCCACACCATCATGTCTGGAGGGACCTAAAAGAAGAGGTGTCAGGGAAGGGCCCTATACCCCTTCCTCCTTTGGCAGATGCGCATCTGTCCGGGTCTGACCCAGGCCCACCCACCACTGCCACTCAGGGCTCTCCCCCAGGCCCCTATCAAACTCTGCCCATTTTCTAGATGTTCCAGGGTAGGGGGGGGTCAGGGGTAGCCGGGGGGCAGGTAGAGTGGCTGAGCCTGGTCCAGAACTCCTGCCTGACTGACCCCGAAACTGACCCCAGGTTAGCACCCACTGTATGGCAGCACTGATCCCAACACATCAGACGCGTAAACCTCGTTATCCCTACAACTGTGAGGTGGCTGCTAAGAAACCAAGGCTGAGAGACTAAGATACTTGCCTGAGGCCACTGGGAGAGTCAATGAAAGACCGCCCCCTTAACACAGGTCTTTTGGACTCCAGAATTCATTCCCTCAACCACCATACTTCCCTCCCTGTTTAAAGTGCCTAAGCTAATAGCGGCCTTCAAAATCAGGGGCCTGGAGAGGGACCATCAAGAGACTATGGGTGGGCAGGGTTCTTTGTTCCACTTGCTGACACATTTAATAGCTACCTTTGCAGCCTTTTTCAAAGCGTGCTTCCGGGAACCCTGGCCTTGCAAGATGCCCCACAGCAGAAGGGTTCCCTGGGCAAGTCAGTTTGGCAAGGGCTCTGTGCTCCTCTTGTTGATTGAGAGCTGGGCAGGGACCCTCAGAAAACTCTGCCTGGCCCAGTCTTCTTGATCATCCTATGTTGCAAGCTGTCCTTTATCCGGGAAAAGGGGGAAAAGGGGACTTTGATTCACTGTCACCAAGAGATACCCGAAACCCTGAGGCTTTTTGTCCCAAAAGACAACTGATATGTGACACCAAAGAAAGGAGGAGAGCAGGAGTCCTGCAAATGTCTCATTTCTTGCTGTCTGTCAAGAAGGTGTTCTACGTGCTCGTCTCTCTGCCATCATTCTGTAAGACAGGACTTTTTCCTGCGTGCTCTTTGTGTACCTTTTGGATTTTGTGCTAAGTGAACTTATTAACTTTTCCAAAGATAAATTAAATTAAAGATCTAAAGCATACACAAGAACACAGTCGTGGCCCGGCACCTCACCCCCTCCCGGGCAGCTCCCCATCCACGCCTCTTCCCCTCCTGCCCCAGCACGTCTGAGGCAGGCCGCCGTTTTCCAGAGGAGCATGGCTCCAAAGCTGTGGGAGAACTGAGAGGGAATGACCTCAGCCCACGGCAGACCCTGTGAGATGGGGCCCTGGCGGGGGAGAGAAAGAAGGAGAGAGAATGGCTTCCAGAGCCTTGACCGTGAAACAGCATCAAAAACCAGAAGAACGCTCTCTAGCACCACCTACCCCTCCTCCCGCGTTCCCGCCACAGAGACGCGCCCACTTCCCCAGGTCACACACACAGACTGACTCTCAGTCTCCAGAAGGCCCACATTGGCCCATGTTGCCTCCTACATTTCTCTCTGGTTTGCCCGCATCTCTCCATCCCACAGCAGCCACCCTGTCTGCCCCCGCTCAGCCCTCCTCAAGGTCTCCCCCACTTCAGGGTCTCTAATCCAGTCTGCTCAGCCAAAATACAAAATAATCCTTCCTCACTCCATCAGATAACCTCCCTCTCCTGCTCAAAACCTGTCGATGGCTCCCCATTGCCAGAGTTTGAACTCCATGGATGCGCTTCCCACAGACCTTTGGTGCCCTGACCTCCGCCTCCCTCTGCAGCTTCATCTCTAACCACGTCCTCCTTCACGCTCCTCATGCCTCGCACGTCCACAGGCTCACTCTGCTTTCACTCGCTACTGGGCCTTTGCACATGCAGTTCCTTCTTTCTGGGATGCCCGTCCCCGCCTTGCAGCCTGGTGAGCAGCTCCAGCGTCACCTTCTCTCAGAGCCCCCTCGATGTTCCTGGAGGAGGAGCCGACTCCTATGCCATCCGTGGTGACCTGGCAGGACCTCGCTCAGAGTCTAGCGTAACCTCTGTAGCTCTCAGTGCCGATGACCGCTTTGCAGATCGGCCTCTCCCACCAGCCCAGGAGAGTTGTGAGGGCAAGGTCTGAACCTGATTCATCTCTGTGACCCCAGGACCAAGCCCAGCACTGAGCCCAGGGCAGGCTCATTTCTGAAATGAATGAATGAATAAAAGAGCCAGTGAATCACTGTAACCCCAGTGGCCTGACATGGAACCCCTGTGAAACTGGGCAGAGTGTCACGGACAAGTGTGTGGGCCAGAGAGCCTGGGTGCAGATCCAGTGTAATCTCGGGCAAGTAACTTACCCTCTCTGGGCCTCAGTTTCCCCATCTGTATAATGAGAACAATAATAGCACCTACACCACAGGGTTTGTGTGAGGCTTAAACAGCGCCTGACTCATAGTCAATGAGTAATAAATGTTGGCAATTATTATGATGGAGGAAAGAATGTTCTGTCTCCTGCCCCCTTCATGGTTGGAGTCCCCACACCTGGCCTCTCTCTTCTCCCAGACTCTGCCCTAACCAGCCTTGGTCCCCTCACAGGCCTCCTCTTGGTCAGTGTCCACTGGCTCCAATCTGGCCCCTTGCCTCTTGGGCTTGGCCTGCCTCCATCTGCACAGAAGCTCCAGCATGAGCCTTCCCCCTTTTAACTCAGAGTTGTCCCTTCCCTGGTTTCCCCAGACCTGCTGGGGCAACACCGGGCTGTCAGGAGGGTTGGTGACTTTCAACATCCGCTGACATCTCCTGAGCACCTGCCACGTGCTGAGTACCCTGATTCACTTGGTCATTCTTGAATGAATATTTCCTGGGTGTCTACGATCCACTGTGGGCCAGATCTTGTTCCCAGCACTGCGGATACAACGGTGAGCAAGAGAGTCCAGGTGCAGCCATCACCGAGCTCGCGGCTTCGTGAATAAGACAGATTCTAAACGAGTAAGCAGAGCGCTATCTCACTGCTGAAGGAGGAGAATGTGGGGATGGTGAGTGTGCAAAGATGGACACAACTCTAGGCAGTGTGGCAGAAGAAGAGGGCTACAAACTTTTGACACTCCTCCCAGCAAGAGATGAGGACTGCTCCCCTAGAATCCGGTGCATTCATCATGTTTTTTATTATCTGTATTTTACGACGCTTTGACACCTTGGAGGCCTCGCTGGCTGGGGAGAGACTGCCCCTCCCAGGGTTAGCTAATTCCTAGAGACAGCGAACAACTGGCCTGCAAACATTCCTCTCAAATGCAAACCAACAGACCCAAAGCCCATACCCCCACCACCCCCTTCATCTCGCTCTCACACACCCAGGCGATATTCCTCTGCCCTCCATCACCCCAGGGCCAGGTACTGGACAGTAAGGATGACCCCTGTAGCCTGCCAAGATCAGTCTACTATCCAGTCCTAAGCTTGCTCCACTGCCTAACCTGCAGCTTCCTTCCTACAGAAAACGCAATAGAGGCTGTGAGCCAGACACCCCTCGCTCCCTCTGCTCCCTGACCAAACCTCACGTGGTCCTGCCTGGTGTGGCGTGCCCCCTCCCCTAGGAAACTGTGAGTAATAAACACCTTCTTTCAGCGGCCTGAGCCTCTCTACGTCATAACTCAGCCATCTCCATTACATGTTTTACAAGTCAGATGGTTTACAGTTAAGACGTCTGGGCAGGCCCTGCGACTGATCAATAGGACATGGCACCAGAGATGCCGGGTCAGCTTCCAGTCCTAGGCCTTGAGACACTGGCGGTCTCCTCTTCCTGTCTCTTGGAACACAGCAGCCATGTTGTAAGGAAGCCCAAGCAGCTCCTTGAAGAAGTTCATGCAGAGAGGAACCAAAGCCCCCAGCCCACAGCCCAGCTGAGCTCCCAGCTGACAGCCAACACCCACCCCGTGAGTCAGCCGCGCGCACAAGCCGTACCAAAATGGGCCCTCTACCTCCAGGTGAGCCATTCCTGCCAAGCCCTGCCCAAATGGTAGATTGCTAAGCATAATAAATGATCGTTGTTGCTGTTTGCCGGTAAGTGGTGGGGCAGTTTGTTATGCAGCCATGGATAGTGGGAACAGAGAGGTGGCATCTCTGAGGAGGCGACAAGTCAGCAGAGATCTGAGGATGAGTAGAGGGCCTCGTGTGAGGGGTGGAGGAGGGAGATAAATGTTAAACATGGACGATTCAACATTTATCTCCACTTCTTCTCTCTTAAAACCCCACCAAAATGGCAGTAAAGATTTTAGAAGTTAGAAAGAAATGATGGGAGAGGATCAACTTACCAAGATAATGATAGTTAAAACCAGAGTAGGGATGGGGGAGGGAGCACCCACAGGAGGCAAGCTCAAAGCCCCAACAAGGCTGAAGGATTAAAGGTTTTAGAACCCTCTGAAAGCAGAAGGTGGGGTGGCCTGAAAGCAGTAAAACCGGTTGATAGTTGCATGGAAGCAGCTGGACTCCCAGACCCCTCTTCCCTACCCAACCCCACCTCCCCCCAGAGAGCACAGGGAGGGGGAGCACCTCCTGGAGAGACGGAGTCAGAGAGAGATGGACTTGGGGACATCAGCCGGTGGCGGTGCGGGTACCACAGCAGGCCAGGGGGCTAAGTGACAGACTGCACACTCAGCCCTCCCCCTCAGTCCAAGAGCACCGGCAGATGACATGAGACCTCCCCCACAACCACAAATAAAAAAATGGAGGAAACTGACTCACCCAAGAGAAAAACCCCACAGATTCTGAAATGTGGGTCCTCCAATGGGTCACTTTATGGTGCGGCCTCCGGGAGACAAGCCTGCCGCCCCCAACACACACACAACCCAGGGCCCCAAGTCAGGTTTTTAGAGCCTCGTTCTTCATTATGAACAGCCAGCTGGACATCATCAGACAGTGATGGGAAGGCAGACATGGTAGCATGCTGGGGCTGCTACTGAAAAGTGCCAGAGTGTCAGGAACTCTGCAAGCTGGTTGGTGTTATGTTGCCCAGAAATGGGCAAACAGCAGATCATGGAAAGCTGCACACCGACGACCGACAGTGAGAAACCAAAACCAAACAGATGCATGGTGAAAAGCTGCTCAGAGGCTGGTTTTGTTATAAACCTTATAGTATTATTTGATAATTTTGCATCAAATATCCACACAACTTTGATAGCGTGAGCCTTGTTACGAGTGGGTTCCAGGTAGCACGGACGATACGAGAGACAGCCTCAGACAGGTAAGAACCACTGTGCTCCAGGAACTGAAGGAGGGTCTGTGTGGCTGAGCATGCGGTGCGGGGGGCGGGGGGGTGGGGCGCAGATGCGGACACGACAAGGTAGGCAGGACCAGACCATGCCCGGCCCTGTAAGACACGACACGGTGGGGATGGTTTCTTCTATCCGAAGAAAAATAGAAGGTCATTTCAGCGTTTGAGCAGGGGAGTGTCAGGGAGTAATCTACTTTTCTAAAAGATCTTTCCAGCTGCTGTGTGCTGTGTCAGCACCACTGGAATGAGGGCAGCAGGGCTGGAGAGAAGAGGTAAGAACAGAGGTATATTTTGGAGGCAGGAAGTTTGAAATTCACATAATTTAATCTCTGCAGCAACCCATCTTGCAGATGGGGAAACTGGGGCTCCAAGTGATCTGCCGAGGATTTCACAACTGGAAGTGCGTGACATTCAATCCAAGACCCCCAGGCCCAGGCTCTGGTCTCTCCCTTGCACAGAGAGAAGGGTGCAGCCCTCGCCTTCCCCCAGGGCTCCAGCAGGAGAGGAAAACCCCGGTTCAGCTGTGGACCCAAAACTTTCAACACATTTGCCCTCTTTGACCCAGTAACCCAACTAACCTAAAATAAGGAAACTCTTTTTGTGGAAAATTGTTCATCACAGGTTATTTATAATCACGGAAAATGGAAGTAACCTAAACCTGGGACACAGGGGATGGTGAAGGAAGATGCAGCCAAGCCCCTGGTGGAAGGTTTGGCAGCCGGTAGACATCATGGTGACGAACAGCAATAGTTGCCAAGTAAGAAACCCCTCCTGCATGCCCGACATCGAGCTGGGTGCTGTTCAACACCCACAAGAAGCCTTCAAGCTAGGAGCCACCATACCCACCTTATAGATAGGCAACCTATAGGTCAGAGAGGTTAAGAGCCTTGCTGCATTTACAGAGTTGAGAAGCAGCAGAGTCTCGCTGAGCAACTCACCTCCCTTCTCTGAGCATGTTTCCTCATCTTAAGACAGGAGTGCTAACTCTGATAAGTGATGAGCATTGGGGCAGTGAATGAGAACAGACTGTGCCAGGTCAGCTCCTGGCACACAGTAGGTACTCAGCAAATGCAAATCCCTTCCTTTGGCATCGTGTGGGGTCATCTTTACCTCACGATGGCTACTCCCGGTGCAGTCACCATGGAAACTGCTCCCGTCTCTCCCCTGTGCCCATCATCCCGTCCATGCTCTGAGATTGAATGTAGAGGGCAGGGCAGGGTGGGGCTGTGTGTGGATGAAGCCAGGGACTGTATTTCTGGTCACTACCTGCAGTGTGACTCCAGCCAGGGCCCCTTGGGAGGCGGCCGTGAAAACTGCTGGCTTGTAAAGGTCCCCAGAGATGATAGCTGGGGACAGCCCACATGCTGGACAGCAGGGCTACACTCAGCCAGGTTGGGAAACGCAGGTGGACTGGCTGCTCGGGAGGAATTAATACATCCTCAGTGCTCATTATCACATGTGCTGAGCCACAGTCCTGAGATGGAGGTTATGCTGTGGAGACAGCGATGCTGTGGGAAGCGCTGGTGTGATGGGCTTGGGGTCAAGTGTGACCGAGGCGGCCCTGGAGCTGGTCGTGGACGCGGGGTGAGCAGTTCGGTGGGGGTAGGGCTGACCATGGGGATGGCTGTGGCGATGAGGTGGGGACGGACACACTGGTAACGTCTGTGACGGCGAGGGTGGGGGTGCAGAGGGAGCTGGTGGGGGTGGGCTGTGGGGCGGAGCTGATGGCAGCCGCAGGCTCACAGTGGAGATGCTGATGGAGTGGGGCAGGGGTGGCGGCGGGAGGCTGCCGGCATGACCACGGGCGCAAAATCCAGGGCCCTTCAACACTGGCTGGGGCAGCTAGTCCTGGCCCTCCCTTAGGCTGTGGTCCTGGACCTAACCCCTGACCTCTTTTGTTCTCTCACTGCCCCTCCTGTGGAGGTGAGTCAGCCGCCACAGGACAGTTGGCCATTGAGTGTGCAGCCGCGGGACGAAAGGTGTGCTTCTCACGGTGACAAAGTTCGCCTCGGCGCCGCTGCGGAGACAAGGGACTCCTTCCCTCTGACCAGTCCCAAGGGGAGGGGAGCTGGCGCTTTGCACCTGTTACCACTTAGTCCTCAGCACACGGAGGTCCCGGGGGGAAGAGATGCGACCCAGTCAGTAACAGGTCAGAACCCAGAGCAGGAAGTCTGTGCTCTCTCTCTAGGCATCTGGTTTTCTCCTGCTCATCGGCCAGACTTCCGCACAGGCTGTGGAGAGCCCCCAGGGTGGAGGTGTGGGGAGAGTGGCCTCACGCAGGAGCTTCATTCTGCAGGGTCCCACCACCTCCCGCCCCTTCCTACACCCAGCGACACTCCTCAGTCATCGAAGTTTCTTCCAACTTCCCCCCTCCATTCTCCGGGGCCGCAGGAAGCTTGCTGGCCCTCACTCCGAGGAGCAGCAGCACGATGATGGCCCCTTGCATTTGCATGAGGCACACACAAAGTCCCTCCCCTGCATCTGGTCCTCACCATCTCCCCGGAAGGAAGCGATGGCTCCACAGCCCCCTTTATGCCTGAGTCCCAGGGAAGCTAAGGCTCCTGCCCACCATCCCAAGCCAGTCAGGGTGGAGCCAGGACCCACCCCTCAGACTCCCTGTCCAGTGCTCTTTATTGCTGGGTCCTGCCTCTCTTCCCTCCTGCACTGCCTCAGCCTGGGTTTCATGCAATCTTCCCTCCTCCCTGTCACAGTGACTTTTACAAACACACGCTCATTTGATCATAATGTGGTCAAAGTTCTACAGCCCAGAGCATCATCCTCCTGATTCAGTCACCTGAGAAAAATGTACAGAGCCTAAGGGAGTGGGGGAAGCCGCCAGGATGACCCTGCCCCATCAGTGAGCCTTCTCACCTCACTGGGCACAGCCACTCCCAAGCTCAAACCTCCGCCTTGGCTCCCACTGGCTGCAGGACACACTTCCTGCCCCTCAGCTTGGCAGGCCAGGTCCTCACAGGTACACGTCTCTCTTCCCACTCAAGCTGGCCTCCTTCCCCCTC